AGTTTTTTTTTTTTTCAAATTTTGATGCAATATTAAATAATGTTTAACAGCATAATGACCATCAATTTTTAATAATAAAATATAAGTATCATGGATATTCAGAAAATGTGACTAGCAAAGGTCTTCAGGCCCATGGAACTTCAAAGTCACAACTTGAAAATGCCAAAATGTAAACAAGACAGCACTATTCTGAAATGTTTTTTTTTTTTTCATTTTTAACAATTTTTTTAACATAAAACAAAATTAACAGGTTACTGCCATTTTTATACGCCCAACTAAGAAAATTGATGAGATGGGAAAATATCAATACAACAGTGTTAAATGTCCAATTTCCTCCATTCTGAGATTCTGAACATAGTGAATGATTGAATCTGACAAACTGCAATGATATGAGTTTATTTCCATTTTTGACACTTTATTACACAATACACAATAACAAGTTTACCATCATTTTTACATAATCAACTAACAATGTTGTAAAGATGCAGGAAATGTCAAACAAACACTTTTACGTATCTTATTAGTTCAATAATGAGACTGTTTACATGCCTAAGAGTTGAATCTGAGAAAATGTGAAAAAAACAGCATAACTTCTAAAATAATGCCCCGATTATGCTGATTTTCGAACTCAACCTGCGTTTTAGTAAGATTGACCACTCCTGTGAGTTTCATGACAACAGGCCTAACGATTTTCCTTAAAATGTGTTTACAAGGTTGCATATATGCTGAAAAGTGAAAAAACAGCATAACTTCTACTATAATGGCCCGATCATGCTGGTTTTCGAACTTGACCTGCGTTTTATGAATATCTATCAGCTCTGTAAATATAAAGCCAAAAAGTAAAACTGTCCTCCACTTATCGTGTTTACAAGGAAAGTGCACGGCGACGGCATCGGCGACGACAGACGCAGGTGATGGCAATATGTACAGACACATCTGTGTCTGTACATAAAAACACTCATACATGTTAATTTTTACTTGTTATAGTGTCACAGTATATATACTGTTATTTTCCAACATACTATTAAGTAATATTTCTGCATTCATGATGGCGTTTCCTGTGTACTTCAATACCACATTTATTATGCAACAATTAAACTACTTAAACAGAGAATTTCACTTATACAATACAAGTTGTATAACTTAAACAAAAGACTCATACCTAACTTAACAACCATAAAATGTAAAAAAATAAGTTATTTTCTTCCAATAGACTTCATGTATCTTGTTATATTTGCATAATTGTGTAGTAGTTTGCTTTAAAGCAATTTGATTAAAAATAGATTTGTGCATGCAGTTAAAGCAAATAACATAAAATCCGTTTATCGGGGACAACAATGATGAACATAGAAGAGTATTAACATTATTAGAACCTGAACTCTCAAAATAATATTTTACACCATTGCTCAAGATATTCCCTTCAATACCTTCTTGAATAAATATGGTTCACAGTGCCCATACATTTCCAACAAAAGAACAATATTTCCACTTACATTTTTATGTGTCAGATGACATAACATTTTTATAATTGCTGAGTAACACTTGCCAATTTAGCCAAATGCTAAAACTGACCTAAACAAAAAGGGCCTGATTTGACTAATTTTAGTCAAATTAGATCCATTTGGATAACAAATTGACAAAAAAGTGGTGATTTGGCTAAGGGAAAAAATTGCTAGCGCTACCCCAGAATTGCATTACAGTAGCAAGAGATACAACACAGAGAAAACTGGAAAAAGAGAAAGCACCCTTAACAACTACCATCCCAAACATATAATATTGCCCAGATGTAACAAAAGGCCCTAAAATATTCTCCAAAATCCTTTTGGGGTATTGAGTTTAGTTACCCCAATTTCTATCAAGGTCATAATCAATCTTGTTTTCCTCCATTTTTGAGTTTTTTAATGTCAAATGTCACTTTCTTCTTTGCTTGACTATGGCCCGGGGAGGAAGGTAATAAGGGATGTGTTGGTTTGCTATCGAAGTGTTCCATCTCCATTGTGTCATCTGCATCATTGTCAAACTCAAGTCTCTGCGGCAACTTCAAATATCTCTCTCCTCTGCTAGAGGCCAATCTGTACATAATCACAAAGACCACACAAGTCAATATGTTGGCTCCACACGTGATATACACAAAGTACATGGAGTGCCCTTTGATAAAATACCCCAAGAGGGGAGGAAAAAATAATTCTCCCAGGGCAGCTCCTACTACAAATACAGACGTTGCTTTCCCAGATAAGTGAATGTAGTTCTCTGCCCAGGATATTCCAGCTGGAAATATGGATGCTAAACCCATACCATATGATGCTGTACTCAACCACATCACAATCTCATACTTTTCAGCAAAAAACATCATTATAGTTACAGAAAATGCAGATAGACCCAAGTCTAACACCAACATCAGGGATGGCGTCATAAACTTGGAGATACAGATGGACAGACCCCTAGCAGCTGAGAGGGCACCATAGAACACGGTCACCAGCTGAACAGCACGCGGCTTGTCCCAGTGTAGGTCTTCATAAGCAAAAGTGGTGACCAATCCTCCAAATGAGATCTCTAAACCCACATACAAAGCATAGAATAGGAAAAGCAGAAACAAAAGCTGAAGTTTGAAGCACCATGGGTCCTTGCGTGTGTCAGATATTTCAATCTCTTCATTTTGAACCCTAGGTGGGTTTCTGTATTCACTACAGCATGTTACCAGGAACAGTGCAGAACACAGCAGCAAGAAAATGCCTAGTCCAATGTAAGCATACTGCATTTTAGAAGCACTCTTTATGGTCTCCAACAACTCTTGTATCCTGCCTCCTATTACTGAACTGTTGGTTTCCTTAGTAACATCAGAAATGTCATCAGATGCAGGTGGTGTTACTGTTATATTAGAACTGTTGTCTTTACCCTCTCCTCTTGGGACTACAGAGTCAGAGGGGGACACAGTGTTGGGCAGCTGTTTTTGGGATGGTGTGGGTGTGGTAGCAAATTTAGTGTTAGCGGGGGAAAGGGTGGTGGGGGGAGTAATAGTAGTAGTAGTAGTAGTAGTAGTTGTAGTGGCAGTTGGTGTAGTAGTAGGAGGAGGACGGGGAGAAGTAGTAGTAGTAGTAGTGTGTGTGGTAGCAACTTTAGTGTTAGTGGGGGAAAGGGTTGTGGGGGGAGTAGTAGTGGTTGTAGTGGCAGTTGGTGTAGTAGTAGTAGTAGTAGTAGTGATAGTCGAGGTGGCAGAGGTGGTTGTAGGGGGAGTGTGAGGGGTTGTATTGGTTAAAGTGGAAAAAATGGTTGCAGGGGTAGGAGTGGTTGTGGGGAGCTTGTTTGTTGTTAATTTCGTTTCAGAACTGAGAGGTTTACTTGGCGTTGTAGATGATGTGGATAAGAAATAAGCATTGGTGGAAGTGATTGGATCTGACCAAACAGATATTTTCTTTGAATCTCTGGCCTTTTGTAACTCATCTTTAACAATAGTGGCATCAGCAGCATTTGGTGATTGATTTTCACTTTCTGTTTTTTTTGGCTTTTTATGATGCTCAGTTGCAGGGGAGGAAAATAGTGTAGTCAGTTTAACAGTTGAGACTGTAGGAGTTGTTTCATTACTTATTGCATTTCTCTTCACTCTTTGAGAGATATCTGAATATATTTCTCTCTCTGACAGATTGTTTAAAACACTTATGTTGTTGGGTGGATGTGATAATAATGGCTCTGCTACAAGAGGTGCTAAAAACGCACCAATTCCAAATGCAAAATGCATGGCCTGCATATAAGGACCACTGTGCTTTCCCCATATACTGAGACAAAGTGCATTTCCACCTGAAATAAAACATTAAGATATGATACATTTATGTTTAACTTACTTTGTATTTCATATATATATATATTTAACCATGCAGAACAACAAGGAAATTAGAACTTTGATGCATTAAAACTTCTTAGAGAACACCGTCAGTACTGTAGGGAAATGAAAAACAATTTTGTATTTCTTGAGTAATCCTGCTGTCACAGACAGACAACAGACACACTGCCAAGAGACCATATTCACAGATACTACATTGTGAGTGAACAAAATACCTTAAAATAAAACTACAATATAAAGTCTTGACTATGCAAGGTTTCATTAATTTCTTGAAAACTGCAAACTGACAAATTTCAAAAAACAAAAATTTCATAATAAGTTGTTCAAAAGAAAAAAAAAGATCCAAAAGACTTGAGATGATGGGGAAAGTTTTTATGGTTCATCCAAATAAATTATTCCCCTTATAGCTTAAAAACCAATTAAAATTTGGCAAAAAATTATTAAAATTTTTCTTCATCTACCTTATTTTTAGTAGATCATCTTAAAATACGATGGCTTTGAAAAATTAGGTAAGAATACTATGCAGTGACATGATACCCTTATTTGTAAATATTATCAAATTACCTGTGTCCAAGCATCCCATAGCTATACCTTGAGCAGCCATGGCAAATGCCAACAACCAGAGCTTCTTCACAAAAGGTAACAGGAAAGTAGCAACAGCAGTCAGCAACATGATGGCACTTAGGAACAGGTGGTGATTCATGTGATCAAACACTATTCCACCTAAGATTGACCCACCGAGATAGCCAGCTGACCTGCCACTGAAGATGTAGCTTATATATTGGACAGTGGTTTGAACCTGTTCTCTCAAGTCTATGAGTGTTGGCCCTGGCAAGGCTATACATGCTCCCTGTAATAGAGGATGCATTTTATATTTTCAACAGACCAAAGAAACTACAATATTTCTGTGGAAACTGCTTATTGATTTTAAAATGGCTAAATAACCAAATGGACAAAACAACATGCAAAAGATACAGGCAACTTGTTTCTTCCAACATTCATGTAAAAACCATACTAGGCTGCACACAAGCAGCACAAGCATATAAAATAAGTATGTGACTATTACAAGGTGCATTTCCAGCCAACCTTGGTGGACCTTATATACTGTAGAGACAAAGCTAGAGACCAGACCAAAGGTAGACCCAGCTTGACTGTAAATTTGTCTTGAGAGTGGTCTACTTACAAGTCCCATGAAGGCTATACAAAGGCTGACAGTCTTGAAATATCTGCCTTCACCTTTCTCCCAAGTTTTAACTTTGTTAGTCAATAGAGATGCCCTGTCAAACATTACATCTTCGTCATCGGCCATGACTTTAAAAATTATAGATGATGGCTATGATTTTTTTCTCCTAGAATAAAAAAAACAGTCATTGTATAATATCTCAAGTTCTGAATTTTCTTTTAAATATGGAAGGTCTAACATATAAACAATTTGTTTACTAGTAAGGTCCTGGCAAGTTACATACTAGTATACAAATAGAGCAGCAACTTAACATGGTAGGTTAATAAATATAAATTTGTTACTAACAGCTGAACAAATCATACATTTATATACAGTATTTAGATACAGTGTATGAATTGGACATACTGGTATCAATGTCTAGCTGCTACTGTGTCTGGCAAATCTTAACCAAAAGAGACCCAGGTCTAAGGGTCGTACTGTCTAGATTGCAAGCAGTCACTGCACACTGTTTTCCTAACGATGAAAAGATATTCTGAAATCAGAATCAATAAAATGGGGCACTGCAACTGAAAAGAGTTCGAAAGCAATTTAGCCTTACTTGCACAATAAATATTAGCACGAAAATTCATGCGTTAGCACTCCTATTGACGATTCTGATATGTACTGTGTGCTAACACAGACAGTTCATATCAGAATCGACAATAGGAGTGCTAACACATGAATTTTCGTGCTAAATAAATATGTCTTTGTGAGCATCTGTTGGCCATTTCTGGTAGATCTACAGCTGTACTTATCACTAAAATATGTCATCCATTGTATTGTGAATAAGGCTGGCAGTGTGTGTGTGCGTGTGTATGTGTCAACACTTACACTCCAGTTCCGGTGTGGCGTGATAGACCCATGCCGTGACGAAACCGTTCTGCACATGCGCATTGAGGGTAGATTGAAAGAAGTAACTTCCAGTATGACGATGTCGTCCTAAGTAGGCGCTATGTTTGCACTGAACTATGATTTTCCAATTCATCATTCAGTGGTTTTCGTCATGAGAGAGTATGTATTTGATAATCTTATTACTACAGTATACGGGGGAATGTTGGAAGTGAGCTTTTGATCGTGACTGAACTGTTTTGCTCTAGGTGAAAAACGTGGCAGATCTAAGACTCGTAGTATAAATCTTTTCACTCTACAATGTTCTTTCAATTCAGAGTTCAGTCATTTTCACTAAAAAGAAATTGTGTGTTTGATAACTGTGTGTTTGATAACTTTCTCTATGGGGAAATGTTGGAAATGTATGTGCAGCTACCTACTGTAAGTCAACAGACTGCTACCCCCGCGTGAATAATCCGTTAGAACGGTTTCTTCACGACGACGGTTTCTTCACGTGACACCGGTACACTGCATATCACCGCATGTGGGGGGTGTGCGCGCGATCGAGTGTGCATGTGCAGGATGTGATCGAGAGTCTGAGAGAGAAACCAGACATATCGCACAACAACTTTGCATGTCCTTACACTTTACACAAGCCACATCATGAGGTCTACAAATTACTTAAATTTTGTTTATCATCTTCAAGTTCAATGTAATGTGTACAGTGGCACTGTCACTGAAATGGTGCTGAAATAACTGTGTCACCGGCGATATTTATTTGACCAATTAACAGAAAGTAATAGCCCTAAAAGTCAACTTAACAGGACAACATGATCCTCGCATCGACCTTACCTACTGTATATTTTACTGGGTCCTGAAATCGAGTCACGTAAATGATGGTAAATTGGTTTTCTATTTCCAACAAAATCACAAATGGATCTCGGCGGAAGCTTTAAGAGAAGTAGTCACGTGAAGTCTATATTTCAAGACAAGCCAAATTCATTGTTAGTTTACAGCATTCGGATATATCGCAGCAACACAATGATTTGCAACGTCACTATACCGGTAGTGTTTAATATGGAACAAATGAAATTTTCAACCAGACTGAACAGAATGGTCACATTTTGAGGAAATGCTGTTTGAACGTGGTTGACAGTTGAGTTCTACAGTAGGCTACTACTCCCACTCCTATTAATTTTTGGTATCATATCCCAAGCACAAATAATAATAGGCCTAATAATAATAATAATAATAATAATAATGTTATTATTATTATTATGAGCCTATTCTAAAAAAGAAAAATTCAGCGTAGTCTGTTATACCCCTACATGCATGTTTTCCTTCATTTTGCCATTAAGAATGCAAAATATGTTACCGCGCGTCACTTTGGAAACCACGACAGAGTCTTGAGAAATACACCTCAAATATAGTAAGTCTTAAATTTAGACCCCATGACGCCTTTTTTACTTCTGATCCTGGACACCATTTCACGTCTACTTGCAGGATTGGTTATCAATGATTGACCTACCTGTAGACTGGCTAAGAGTTACATCGAGAGAAGGTGAAATACCACCTCTGAAAACACTCAACAGGAAAATGCTGTACACGTTTATCTGTAAATTTTACCCCCTTCCCCGTTTTATAACTAATTTTAACACCGTTTCCTTTGAGGATCGATATATTTGATAGTGATACATGCAACACCTCACAACGTTGCCCCATTCCTCGCTTGAAGTTGCGTCAAGATCGTTCAAATTAATTTTTAAAACTACTGGGGGTCGTGGGGTTCAGTACTGTGGTAGGCATATTGAATGGCACTGCTTCTTTTAATGTCTACTGTGTTTCTATATCTTAATGATAGCTCCCTCGCCTATCGATCGCAGGTGAATGCACAGTGTGCAAAAATACATCATCACCCCACCCCTCACGCACTCTCTAACCTGGTTTTGTCCTGCTCTTATAATAATTTAACGTACGTGACTAGAGTGGCGTAAGTAACAAAAATAAGGAAATTAAGTCAGTCTAATTTATTACTCTTAATATGTTTGAAAATTGTCCTTTCATTCCAGCGCAATGATTTACTCCCATTGATAGGTAGATAAAAGCACGTTATTCGAGCATAACTGTAAACCAACAGTGTTAGTGGTGGATGAAAAAATCAGCCTGTACTTCAAACTGTTTCAATCACTATTCTAAACGAGCGCTGATTTTTGAAACTGGAAAAGTTGCAGGTAATCTAGTGAATGGCATTGCGTGTGTGTGTGTGTGTGTGTGTGTGTGTGTGTGTGAACATTTAGGGTATAAAAGTGGGCTTATGAGTAGACATTTTACAATTATACCTTGGTGCTAAATTTATTCCGTTTTTCTTTTTTTTTTAATCGTAAGTTTTGTTTTAATATTTGGCCTATGTTTCTTTACACACAGGGACCCCACTGAAATGCAGTCCTCCAAGGTCACCTTCTTGATACTGTTTCTCGTTCTCTTCGCCCTTTTAGGTAAGCGCAATTGATGGTTTACAGACTACTCAATACTCAGTAATTAAAATGCTCTATAAAATATATCGTTTTTTTCTGTATTTTTTTCATGGACCTATACAATGCAGTAGAGTAGAAGGGAAGTCATTTTATTTCTTTTTATTGTTATTTTTATTTTCTTTTTCTCCAGTACACTCTACGTTTTTAAAGTTACTATTTTAAGAAAAGTCGCTTTGTTTTTTCTTTAGGCGATGTAGCGGACGCTTGCTGGAAATTTAGCTGTAACAGACTATGCCGAAAGAGAGGCTATACGGAGGGGTACTGCAAATCAGGGTTCCTCAGCTCAAGCTGCCGGTGTGTTGCAAGGTGGAAAAAATAAGGTAACGAACACGAGAGAGAGAGAGAGAGAGAGAGAGAGAGAGGGGGGGTGGGGGGGCGAGAAATGAACTTTCAAAGATGCGAAAAATGTAGCTCCTTGCCCTGTGATCATTTACCGTTTTATCAAAGACGTGTACGTAGACATCATAAGTGTCAAGAAAACGCTTTTTGTTTATGTGCTCTCTGGTACCCATCTCTGCATGACAACACCATTCCAGACTAAAACTCTTTATCAGTAGAAAGGCCCCGTTTCCAAGGATATTATTAACATACTGAATGTATTTTGGCTGTTTTCGGTCCGTTTTCCTCAATGCTTTTTACCTGCATTCACCAAAGCACGCTAGAGAAACACGGGGAACTTTTATGTTTATTCCCTTTCAATGTAATCCATTCTTTAGTTGAAAATAGAGCGACTTTTGTAATTGATAATTATTATATCACGTTTTAAACATTAAAACTTTAGAAGTTATGGACAAAAATTGAATCTGAAAACATGCAAGGAGAAATATACCAGTACGCTGTAATACATGTAAGAAAATGTGCTTGTGTAGTGTTTTTAATGGATGGATAAGACTAAGCTGACAATTAACATGTTTAGTGCGACTAAAATCCGTTTCGTGGACTATTTCAAGCCAGATAACGTTTTCTCACACTCCTTTTAATATATTACCTTTGTAGTCACTAATTTATATGAATATATATAAAATTCCTGATGCAAGTGATTATCTGCAGAGGTTTAAAACAACATGCACAGATTTCACCTGTTCGGCGATAGGGTCCATATTTTGCTTTCTATCAACGAGCATGATGTGAAAAAAAATGGTTGTTTTTTTCCCCCTTTAGTTCTTTGGGTAACACTGTTTACCAGAAGTACACCTATTCTTTCAGTAATGTTTAATCTATTGAAAAATTAAAACTGTGCTCTTTTTCACTAAATTAGAGGGATAATTCAAATCATCCCACGCGGAGTTAATGAGTTGATAACCTCTGAATTGGGGTGAAATAAACTCATTTATGCATGTTATCATTCGCATAACGAGCTTGGTATTAGTTATTAATTGATTAATGGATTTTCACTCAAGTGCATTTTTCTGAGTTTGACACACATCACCAGTCTAACTTCATATGACATTCTACTTGATTTTTCATATTTAATGAGTTCCAGGCTAAATGACCAACTTTATTGCCTTGCTCATTTTCACTGAATATATAATTATATCTTTTTAGGTGACGAGGCGTGTTCCAGCATCTCGCCAGTTTGCCGCAACCAATTATTCAGCACATTACAAATGAACCTCGGGCTCACTTTTTTAAGCGTACTTTCCATTTTGTTTGTCTAATGACACTAATAAATCTCGATAAAAAGAACCTGTATACCTATAAGAGTTTTTAACACATTTGTAATATCTTTCTTATTTAAGAGTAATTAAATCCAGTTATAAATCTAACTCCGCTCAAACGCGGGAAACGTCACACTGACTTTCGTAAATGTAAGGATTTTCGCCTTTACCTGTGTAACATAATTTAGTATGGCTCCTGACCAACCATTGCGTCATTATAACGAATAAAGGTATATTGTGTGCGCTTGTAAATCCACAAAGTGATGTTTTCTATATTACATACCCTGCAAGCTACTAATCTTTCCCAATTTAGACCATAAAAACTGTAAAACCCGTCAAATAAAAGTACCTGGCGTGGATAGTTTCTTCTGAAATGTACAGGAAGACACGGCGTTCTGACTCAATCATCAAATTCAAAATAAAATAAAACGTTGAACCCAAGTGCAGGGACAGGTTGAGCAATGACACTGAGTAGGAGAAATTAATTTTAGCGGGTAGTTCCCGTACGGAGAAAGTTTAATCTCCATAAAAGATCGAAAAAGAAGACCTTGTGAATGTGGTTGTACATCACTAAAAAGACCGTATGACATACCGTTTGATTCATCTAAAATTGCAATGTCACTAGTTTACAATACCAGATGAATTCCCCTGATAACCAATTGACAGTGGCGGAACCAGGATTGAAATTACGGAAGATTCAGCACAGGGTAACAGGATATCCTTAAGGGAAGTTGTGTTCCATCCTCCTCTTTCTTAGGTATAAACTGTGCACGTACTGATAAAAAACATGGTCGATGGGTATTTGTTCTGTACCCAAACTCATAACGACTGTTTTTTTTTTTTTTTTCATTTTGTGACAGTTTTATAGAAGGACGAAAGGGGGCAATTTTTCGACACCACAGATAGCAAAAAAAAAAAAAAAAAAAAAAAAAAAAAGTAAGAAAGGCATATATTACCAAAATGTACTAATTTCTAATTATTGCTTTGTGGGGTTTTCCACTTGCGCAGGAAATTGCAAGCAGTAGTTAATTACGCAAGATAACAATGCTAGAAATGATTAAATATCTCTTCAGATCTACTTTGATTAGTTGGAGCGATAAATAATTAAAGTTGTCGTTTACAATTTTGGTTCGTGCCTCGGTAAAGTCAAATATCAGTTTCCAGACTATACCTATTATTAAAATTTCAAACTTATCTATTTACATAATCGCAGGTTAGAAAAATAACAGTAATTTTCATTAACTTTTAAAAAGTATCATACAACAACTCTTTTGGACGTGTAAATAGCATCCTCCAGTTCTAAAATGTCCACGGTGTTGATAAAGCTACTAATTCGGCATTGACATAAATTTGCGCCTTGATACGTCCATAAATATATTTAAAAGTATCAGTCAGTATAAAGTCTTTTACAATTAATTGCTGAATGTAACCTCTTCGGTCGCAAGACTTGGTATCTGTGGATGCAAAAAACCATATATGAGCAGGAAGAGGTGTGTGGATCACTCACGGTGAAGCGTTTTCTCTCTCCTTGTGCTACAACGTCACTATATCTCACTGAATAGTAAAGCTAAGCAGTTGCATAGCGCGTTTTTAACCTTAAAATTTGGCACCGTGCTCTGGCACCGTTTTATACGGCGCGGCATCATTATGACTTGAGTAAATTACTTGTCTGGGTAGACGTATATGTAATATTTTATTTTTTTGTGGACAAAATATTTGCCATGAGTCACCATATACATGAACAACCGAAATAAAAGGTTGAAAAGTTGGTTCGTATACATGTCACGTCCTGGTATTCAGACATAATCCGATCGATCTTCTGTCAACATGGGGGTTTGTTAAACTGGTGTCTCCGTGCTTTAGAAATCCACTTGCAAATCTGTCGTCTCGCAAAAACGCCGGTAATAATTTGATGCTATCTAATGATTTATCTTCCACATCAGTCACGTACAATTTAATGCGTACTTGTGTTTGTTGAAAAGAAAGCAGAATGCTCTCAGTCGCTTATAGCCCAATGAATATATATGTTTCTAAACTTTGGCATATTGAAAATCTGCAGTGAAGATTTCTTGAAGTTGTCATAAAGACCGATAAACGAAGAAGTCCCCCAGTTCCATAACGACCTGATTGCACTTGGCTGTCGGTACATATTCCTTATGAATTCCTACAATAATCATTGTTCTAGTTTGGCACACCGTTACTCCATGCAACCCAGTCTTTGCTAAGAGCCCCTGTTGTCCGTCCGCTACCATGACTTCATAGTGTCGACCGCTAACTTTAATTCCGTCCCTGTAAGCAATATCTGGGTAACGAATGCATTCCTTCAAAGTTCGCAATTCGTCTTTGCTAACGAAAAGCCCTTCGCTTCGCGCCAACTCAAATCCGTTCAGATCATATATTCCCGCTTTTGAGACATATCCTGATCCTTCTAAAATGTCTGAAATGTAAGATTTCCAGTCTTTCATATAATCCATAACACGTTGATGTTGCTCTTTTATGGTTCTCTCTTTGTACCCTCCCGTCTTCCTTAGACCGAACGCCTGCGCGACGCAGATCATTACAGTACGTGATGCGCAACCGTGACAACAGTGTCTATATTAGCATAAACCCTAGATTAGATACACACGCCCGTAAATCGGTTGACAAACTCAGGAAGAATCGGGCGTTGTGTAAATATAATGTATGCGGTGTAGATTGTCGCTAAGAAAACATCGATTTTGTAAGCGTTTGTTATCGGCTGTTTACCATATAAAAGAGGTGTATTGACCCTGATTAAACTGTTCTGTAAGTCATGGGTTTGACCCTAAACACGTCACGTAATGATGTTAAATAAAGGATTGTAAGAAACAATTAAGCACAATGAAACACTTTATAAATATTGCGCCATGTTTCGATAAAGTTCGGTCAGGTGAACAGTACTTAATGAAAAGCCGTCGAGGGATGGCAGTATTGAATTTCTTCAGTCCTACCCGTAGACAACTAAAAGGTGACATTTAGGGCCATGCTATTTCATTACACAGTAAATCACTTGCCTATCGCTAACAATGAATATAACAGCGTTATTCAGGTTCGAACATCATGCATATACAATAGCAAAGTTGTCGCAGAAATAATGGTTATTTTTAACAATGGTTTATAGCCGGACAAAAAAAGTTGATATTTGCAAAAGGAAGTTGAAAGGCCAAGAATTAGCGTTAACATATCGAATAAAACTGCTTCTTTTACAAGAAGTAGAAGATAAACTATTGAAATATTAAGTCGGGTTACATGAAATTATCGTTAGAATAGAAAACGACACCATATATACGTCACAGAAGACTAAAAAACTAATATATTATCTTCTGTAGCGTATATATGACTATTTAAATTTATTACATGCGTTCAAAATACTTACCCGATTTTATCTTTTTTATTATTATTATTATAGAAAAATAGTACATGGTATTTTGAAGTGTTTTACTGTGGTTTTTAGATTCGCTGACACATCAAGGTGTCAGGCGAGCGTAACGTCAAACTGAATAAATTTCATTGACATTTCTTGGAACTGCCAGAAAATATCTACAATCAAAGACTGGCCAATTTTCAAGATCATTACATAAATGTTAAACTGGGCTTACACTTAACAAATGATTTTTATTATTTAAATGATAATCACAAAATATGGATTCATAATTGTGAATGATCACACATTAATAAGCACTAAATCCTTTTACTATATAATATTCTATTCCTATAAAAAGTGTGGAATAGACATAAATGTAAACATGCACATGAAGTCTCTGCATTGTTCTACAAATAGACAAATAGCACATTCTAATTTCAAGTGTTAAAATATATAATATATATGTAGAAAAAAAATAACATATTTTAACTAGAAGACAAACAATACCTTGATTGGAAGTTAATCTGTATGGCACATTTTAAAAAGATAAAATTTCAATATAAAGAGCAAAAATAACAGTTTCTAATTACAAACATTACACCTTTTCAAATATACAGAAATGGCACTGATAAACAATGAATACACCAATACATTGTCTGAAAAGGTTCATGAGCAGTCACAGTGTAAAAATCCATGGTAAAATGATTTTTGTTGCCACTACCTTAACTTTCTAATGACCCTGATAACAGTAAGCAGCAACTCGTGTTGCAGGACATGATAGGTTTTTGTGCAAACTGTCATATAATATGTAACAATTAGTTAAAGAATGCTTATAAACTCCTTTTGATTACAGCTCACTTTAATTTCAATATTTGACAGTTTAGAATTTTGCTGATATAGCCAATGAGGTAAAACAAATGGCATCCAGCACAAATTGATTTCACAAGTAAAATTGTTTTGTAATTTTAGTAACACAAAAGCACTCACATTATTCTTTTTCAGATTTGAGCAATAAGAAATATTGTCAGTATGTATGAAAATAAAATATTAAATCTAACAAGCATACAAAATTTTTCTTTGGCAACAAAAAATAAAAATACAAATATATATTTTTAGCACTCATTATTGTATTTTAAATATATAATGTCACTGTATACTGTCATGGCTCACATGTCCTGGTAGGAGAGTTTGTAATTATATATATTAATTTTTTCTTTAAATCATCTCATCGAAAAATTTGCTCATAGAGCAAGTGCATTAAGGTGGAAGTGTTATCTACCACCTTATTATCTTTGGTGATAAGACTAATCCCAAGGTTTTACGTGGCTGTGGAATTGGTATCTGAATTTTGTTCAAAAATAGGCACTTAAACTGACTGCTGCCGGGGAGGTCCATTATATAATATCATATCCCTGCCTCTCTAAGATAGTCCCCTAGTTTCATAATGATACTTGTACATCCACCTGGGTGCATTCCCTCATCATATACACCTATAGCAACACACTGCTTGCATTTACTTATTGCACAACCAGTGCTTCCCTTCTTCCCGAGAATCAAGTCTTTGTCCACTTTTAACGTTACGTATGTAACTCCATTCAATTTTATTCCATATTTATGAAGTTGACTAGGGTCTATAAATGCTCTAACAAGGGACGCAATTTCTGCTTTTGTTACTTGGAATCCCAAACTTGATGCCCACTTGTCGCCTAGCAATCCATGAACGGCAAATTTTCCAACATGACCAGTCTGAACTGTGATTTCCACGTAGTCTTGCCAGGTATTGGTTCCGCTAGCTGATGGCATTTCTGCATTTAAACCTCAAGGTTATGTATTTAAACTTATTATAAAGTATAAATATGGTGTCGCTCCTATTGCACAGGATTTTTCAGGGAACACATATTCTAAAAACCATACCTTTGCGACGTTCTTGGGCAAAATCAATGCCGTCGCCAAGACGCACAGGGCGCCGCCATCTTTCATTCAATTCACCACTCGGAACTACTCGGATGTCTCCGCACTCGACTACAAGTATGGAGCTTGCGGAATCAGCCGAGGATTGCCGATTGTTAATTCACTGCCCTCTTAGTGCGAGAATTCTCGTGAAAATCGAAGCGCCATTTTGAAACCTTGAACATGTGAGTAAACTGTATTTAGAATTTTATGAATGTGTTTTGGCGGAAGTTTATGATTTAAAGTTTTATTTTGCATATCTCTGGAATGTTTAGCCCAAAACAAAAATATCTATTTCTTTATTTACACTATGCAGCGATTAGTAACAGCTGGTGCTACTGAGCACTGACTGTCAAAATAACAGTTTTTATATCAGTCTGTCGCCGGTTGACAGTGACACCCAGATAAAGTTAAGATGAACATGGTGTGATATATGGCTCGATGATTGTCGTTAATATCTATTGATATCGTGGTATTATGGTAGTTTATATTAAGTGTCATCTATTTAACTTACTGGAGTCGTTTTAGGACATTTTATAATACTTTCATTCCTGGGTGTGTCTAATGCCACCGATTTCTGGAGTAAGGTTAGAGAAAATCTGGGTCTGTTCACTCATTGTCAGGATAACACCTGGTTACTGGCAGTTGGAAATCCTGACATCCATCAATTCCAAATTCACCACTAACCTATTTTCAAGCACGAATAGATTTCGCCTTTCACGTAAATGGTTTGTGTTCTGACTCTAGCACATTAAAGATGCATATACAAAGTCAATTTTTTGTCACAAAAACCAACCAAATGCCAGCATATAGTTTCAAGTAGTATAACTAAGAGAATTACCAAAAGGCATTGTTTAATTTTACCCGAAAATGATGTTTCAACAGATTTTTCTGCTGGCGTTCTAAGCTGTATGTCAATGGGGCAGGAAAGTAGGTCATGGAAGTAGGTTAAATTTACAACCAAAAATTTAAAGAAAGGAGCAGTCTAAAGGTCTTTTATGGCTGATCGAGTGATCTATTCAGTTTATCCCTTGGCAGGTCAAATTTATTTGAGTCATATAAGAATCTAGTAAAAGTGGTTTACATGTGTTACTGGGAATCCACGCTCCACCAATGCTCGGTTCGTATGTACCTTTAAGTAAATGCAGTGGGGTTGTTCTAGGAACATGTCATCAAATAATTTGAACTAGGTTTTTTCAAATGATAATTTTAGCATTTCTAAAATGAAATCAGAACATTTAATGGGCATTTTTCTCTACTTAACTATGATGTTAACAGTTATCTGTGGGCTTTGAAATTATTTGTGAAGAAAATACATTATGATATGGTGTTTCTAATAAGGAAGAATGGTCATGGAAAGAGTCAAACAATTATAGATTTTTCTTATTTTGAAAAAGTAACATACATTTAATGGGTGGTAGAAGGCTGTATTCAATTTTTTTTTCATTTGAAAGGATCCAGTTCTCTCTTCAACATACTTTGAAAGCTGACATGTCTTTAAAATGTATATGTTTTTATGAGCACCAAATTGTAATCATTTACAGAATCATCATGGAAATCACAGATGCTAACTTGCAGACCCTGGGCAACTACCTGCTTCAGACTTTGTCTCCAGATCCTGCTGTTAGGAGACCTGGTATGAATATTGTATATAAATGTATCCAGTACATCACATCATACTTACAATTTTTTCACGGCAACAAACTCACTTACATTGGCAGTAAGTAAGGGCTCATTCCCATAGAAACTTACGATTTCCATAGATCAACCCAACTCCGTGGAGACTCGCCGAATGCAATCAGGGCCCCGTATCTCGAAAGGTTCGCTATGTTGCACACGTGCACAAGTGTCTCGATTCCATAACAGATTCTATTTCGAGATACGGGGAAATGGAATAGAGACACTTTCGCACGTGCGCAACATAGCAAACCTTTCGAGATACGGAGCCCAGATTAACACACCCTCTTGTTTCCAGCGTCCTCTTATAATCACCAGCTTTTCTGTATTATACTCGACGCCAGGAGGTGTGTTAATCTCTTAAACTGATTGCATTCAGTGAGAGTCCCATGGAGTTGGATCTATCTATGGAGGTAGCCCTATAGTTTCAATTTGATTGAACCGTAAGGCTAGGTTCACAATGAAAGTATTACACTAGGTAGATCGTTGAACTCTATGGGTACTCGCACTGAATGCAGTCAGATGTATAGATTTAAAATAAAAACTCATTTAACATGATCAAAGAATGAGAACTATTCTTGTACTAACTTTTCTTGTGTGATTTTGTCATATTATGTCTAAAACATGTTTATCTGTCTCTGTTATAAAAATAGCAAAAAATTTTGCATGATGCATTAAATTTATATTTAATGTCAAGTTAAATTCATTTTCACCTATTTTTTAGCTGAAAAGTTTCTGGAGTCTGTTGAGGGGAATCAGAATTACCCACTATTACTGTTGAACTTACTGGATAAGCCAGGGGTAGAAGCCAACATCAGAGTCAGTGCAGCTATCACCTTTAAAAATTATATCAAAAGAAACTGGAGAGTGGTGAGTTAGTGTTCTTCTCGAATGTGTGAATGTCTGTTATAATGATGTCAAAACTCGGTTAGGAGTAAAAAGTATTGGTTGGCTCTACATACATTTCTGTATAACTTATGCCATTAAATAAAATTGTTCTTTTTTCTGCTGCAACAGCTGGATGAGGCTCATGACAAAATCCACCCTGATGACAGAGCCACTATCAAACGGCTTATAGTGGGAGTGATGTTGAACAGTCCAGAACAAATACAAAATCAAGTGAGTTACATGTAATAAATGAATAACAAGTTCAGAGTATTTTGCACTTGGAAAAGATATTCCTAGCCTTTTTGTCCATTAATATATGGTTAGTAGAGCACTAAACTGGTCGCAATGGACAGGTGGTTATATGACAGTCACTCTGTTGTTATTGCAGCTAAGTGATGCTATAAGTATCATAGGAAGAGAGGACTTTCCTGACAAGTGGCCAGATTTGCTGGTGGAGATGGTGGGGAAATTTCAGAGTGGAGATTTTCACATTATTAATGGAGTTTTGAGAACAGCCCATTCAATTTTTAAAAGGTGATTGTTATAAAATTCAAACATTTGCTAAAGCGCATATTCATGTGGCGTATTTTTCAATTATGTTAAAAGTGACATTGTTCTGAATTTTGTAAATGTTAATGGGGTTTGTTTCTCAGCCTGATAATGCCTTGTAGCATACAGTTTAAAAAACTGATTCAAATCTAAAAGATTTTTGTAAAAACAATGTTTATTGTACTCATAGATATCGTCATGAATTCAAGTCGCAGGAGCTTTGGACAGAAATAAAATTTGTATTGGACAACTTTGCTGCACCTTTCACAGAACTTTTCAAGGTAAATTTGGATAAAATACATTTTTGATAAATGTCAGAAATTTAGTTCATGGCAATTGTGTTTGAACTAACAGTAACACCAGTCAACCAGCAGCATAATATAGTAAAATGTACTTGATATTTTCATAGAGTTCAATTTCACGGTGGCAGAATTTTAGAACTTTAAACATGGAGTGTACCAAGGTTGTGTTAGGATGGAGGCAGAGGGTTTTTTAATGATACTCTAAAGTGGGATATAATGTGAAGTTTCATAGAGAGCCCTGTTTGAACTTCACATTTCGTTAAATGAGTGGATCTTTCTCATGTTGTAAAATTGGAAAACATTTATAGTTCATTTCATCATCATCATCTCCCTTTTTTTTAATGACGATGTGTATTTCCAGGCTACCATGGAGCTGGCCACCAAGCATGCTAGTGACCCCAAGGCCCTTAAGGTGATCTTCAGCTCTCTGGTTCTCATCTGCAAGATTTTCTACAGCTTAAATTTTCAGGTGAGATGGAGAACAATGTTGTTTTTACCTTATTTATCATAGGATGCATACATTTGTCAAGTATGTGTTTGCTGTTCTTTAATTGAAAATGGACTGTAGTCATGCAGTATCTATGACTTTTTACATGAGATTCAGGGATATTGAAGGTACGTGTGGGCATTATTTTTTTACCGCTCCCCATATTTGTGTTGGACACATAAACCATAAAATCTTTTTAAAAACTGTAGGCTACACTTGGCTGTAAGGGTCAGTCAAAGAACTTGTCAGGATAGAAATGTACATATGCTACTTGGCTAGTGCTTTATCTGCATTCTGATTGAAAGCATTTTGGACAGCCTAAATATGTTAAATAAAAACAGAAAATAGAATTTAAAACATTTCATCCATTATTGAAAAAATTATTTTGCAGGACTTGCCTGAGTATTTTGAGGACAACATGGAAATCTGGATGAACAACTTTCTGACTCTCTTACAAGTAGATAACAAGTTACTACAAACTCAGGTAAAACTTTTCTTGATCTAAAATCACTTAGGTAAGAAATGCCATGGTGTTACATGTAGTTGCGTTGCTTAATTCACTGTATCTGAAATTTTGTATTATTGAGATGGAACAGTTGAAACAAATAAGAATTGAAATCAGTTTTGTGTTAGAAATGCTATTTGGAAACTACTTGAAAGATTATAATTCAGTAAGATCACATCATTAGAGAAATACTTTATCAAGAAAAACAATTATTTACTAAGGATGAAGAAGAAGCTGGATTGCTGGAACATGTCAAATCTCAGATCTGTGATAATGTGGCACTGTATGCTCAGAAGTATGATGAAGAATTCTGTAACCACTTACCTAAGTTTGTGGACACCATATGGCATTTGCTGGTAACCACTGGACAAGAGGTTAAATACGATTTGGTAAGACAAGCCAAAAAATGATTAAAGAAAGAAATTATTTTTCTTTATTTCACATAACATGTCTTAACTGTCAGATTATTTTCTGTATAGAAAAATTTAAGTTCAATTCATACGTGAAATTTTCAATCATGCAACAGGTTGTGTACCTTAATATCATTATGGTGCATTTAAACATGGTTAATTTCTTATTTATCAATTTGCTGTTTGATAAACTTAATTTCCTTGTCCAATATGAATGCATAGATACCTGTCTTATTTTCAAGAATTTCATCAAGAATTTCATCAATTACTCTTTAGCTGGTCAGTAATGCTATCCAGTTTTTGGCATCTGTGGCTGAGCGACCAGGCTACAAAAGTTTATTTCAAGCCACCGAGACACTCCATAGCATCTGTGAAAAGGTGATTGTGCCAAACATGCAGTTTAGAGGTAAGGTGTTTACAAATACATTGTGTTTTCATTTATTTGCATTTTAGAAAATAAGGAGAAAGTGTGTGGAATCAAGAATATAAATGAATAGTATCATAGATATGTGTCTTTAATTGGAATTGTTTTCTGGCAATGCCTGAGTGCTGAATTGTGGTTCAGGTCTTAAGAAGCTGTATAGTTATTGGATTTTTACTTAACATATAAGAATGACATGTCTTCCTTGCAGCGGCTGATGAAGAGACCTTTGAGGACAATCCTGAAGAATACATAAGGAGAGACATAGAGGGTTCAGGT